TTGTTCTTCCTGCCTCAACCTGGCTTCCTCCTTCTCTTGTTCTTCCTTCTCTCCTGCGGCCTTTTCCTCCTTCTTCTTGGCTTCATTCAACCTGGCAGCCTCCTTCTCACGCACTTCCTCCCTCAACCTGGCTTCTTCTGCCAACCTCTTCTTTTCCTTTGCTGCCTCCTGTTGCCACTCTTCCTCTAGCCTTGCCCTCTCCTCTTCCGCTCCTTCTCCAATGGGTTGCTTCTTTTGAAACTTCAGGCCAGCCTGGACAGGTGCCAATAGATTACAGTAACTGGTCTCACCTAGAGTTTGTTGAAGAGCTAGAGTACAACAAACCAAGGCGCACCTCACCAACAGCAAGTGAAGACTCATCCTTCATGGTTTCTTCTGCCTCAATCGGATCCAGTTCAGAAAGGGGAGATCTAGCCCAAATTGAGCCCAGGGAGGCAGTGGGGGTGATTTCTCCATTCAGCTCATCTTCGGTTTCCCGCAGGTGTGCCTCAATTCAAACCCCTCTCCACTCCCACAAACAAGTACTCCACTCCCAGAAAAAAGTACAGGTCAACTGCCCTGCCTCACACAGGCGTATTTGTGCATCATATGGGGTCGAAGTCATATTCCAGTCCATTGGTTGCGTCTCCACATTGTCAGGGCAGACAACTCCTGCAAATGGAAGAGGCTCTGAACAATTAGGCTTTTGACCCTTCAACTGGTATAGATTCTTGAGCTTCTTGAGTTCCACCAGCTTAGATTGCAACTCCACAAGCAAGTGAAGCTTTCGTTGGTGCCAGTGCTCACCCACCTTAAAAGCATGCAAGAACTGGCACAAGGGAATGGTATTAAAGCTAAGGAGAAGACCGAAGCCACTTCAGGAACCGGAGATGGTGTAGATGTAGGTACCACAACACCTCCACAATTGAACCATGCACACTTTCCCATCCAAAGCACACAGACCGAGCCTTTGGGGGGTGGAGTGCACAACGGCGATGCACTCAGGCCCGTTGGCACATCTCTGAGAGGAGGAGGCTCCAGTGCAGCAGCACCTGCCATGAGAACTCCCAGGCAAACCATGTTTGCGATACAGGACCCCTACCTGGATGTTGTTCTTCTGTTGCCTCTTCTATTTCCTCATCATCAGTTCCATCCTCACTTTCAAAGGACTCCTCACCCAGATCCTCCTCATCCTCACCCTCGTCACCTAGATCACTCCTAGACCTGGGCTCTGGCTCAGGCCAAGTGACTCCAGCAACTCCACATAGTTCCCGGATCTTTAGGTCCGTTGGGCGATACGGGCGACCACAAACCCTGTTCACTTCTGAAAGGCAACGGCGAAGTACCCATCCTTGCAACTCCACGGTGCTACCTCAGGTCCACAGTCTTGTTTATGTTTTGTTTGGATTTATTGATTCCATCATTTTGAGCAAACATGGGAAATCAGTGGATTTTACCATCAATACCAAGTCACTAGGGCAGTCAACCCCAAGCAATTTATAGAACTCCGCCACATGGAATTGAGCAGTTGAGACTGTTATCCTGCACCCAACCAACTCAATAGCTGGAATTAGCACATGGGCGTTCTGCTTCAGAGTGTCTCTGGAGATCACCTTTCCCTGGCAAACAACCTTGGTTCAGTCAACCAAGGCCAAAAAAAAAACTTGGTAAAGTATCGTTGGTTATAGTTCTTTACTTTCCCAAAAATGGTAGCCAAATGTAGCCATGACAGCTAAGGGGCAAGCTTCAGTTCTGGAGCCTGCCTACGTAGTTCATAGATGTCCTCCCACTTTTCAGCCAACACCGATGATGCTTTACGCTCATGTGACACAATCGCCATCACGCTAGCCACTCAACCCACTCAATACACTTGAGGAAATCAGTATGTGTTGGTTGAGGTATTGCATTGCATGTGTTGCAACATGCATGCATGATGTTCGAGCCAAAGGATGCTCGCCAAATCCAGTGCTGGTACATGCACTTGGTTCACTTGGCAATTGCAAAGGGCACAAAAGATGGATTGCTGGCCCGCCTCATCCAAATTGAGCATAAGATGGGCTCCAATGTGAACAGGTGCATTCAAGTACACTTTGGATGGATTTTCACCATTCTTGGTCGATTTGGTCAATCTGGTCGATTTGGGTTGGAATTGATCGATTATGATGAAAACCAGGTCACTGACCAGAACTACCAAAAAGTATTGGTCGATTGAAGGTCCAGGTAACTTATAACTCTATAACTTACAGTATATAATATATATAATATCAAACATATTAAGAAAGTAAATGGAAGAACCAAGCATTACAATTACAAGTTCTGCCTCCTGTCTTAGTGAGCCGGTCTCGCCTCGGCAGCGCTTTCAGCGCCGCTGCCCAGCAGCAGCAGGAGCAGCGCGACAAGAGCACTGGCACCAAAGGCACCCAGGATGAAGCTCAGGCAAGTGCGAAGCCTATCCAGGCACCCAGTATGTCCACCCCCATCCGGACTGGTGTGGTGAGTGGATGGAGTAGGCTGCTGGGGTGGCTAGACTCTGGACACCCCCAAATGTTCTTTGTTTGAAGGTGAGTGGTCTCCGAAAGGAAGAACATGAGTGCATTTAGAAAGTCCACTGGTGTCTCACATGTCTTCAACTCTTGGTTTTCACCCCTGGGCGGGTGTGGGGCGCAGGGAAACGATCAATGAGTCTCTGGGTTTGCTTTATTGCAAACCTAGGTGCCTGAACCACCATGATCCACAATGACTCAATGACTAGCCACTTCAGCTACTTGAGTGTGTTCAAGTGTTCTTGATTGGATGCCCTGATTCGATTGATGATCAGCGGCACGGGTGCAAAGGGATGAACAACCGCTCACAGGTCGAGCCACCGGAAGCTCCCAAAGTGCAAAGCAGTGCAGCCCAGCACATCCACATCACCTGTACGAGAGCGTGACCCGGTGTTTCAACTCCATGGAGAGCGTGTTGGTACTAAAAATTGATCGGTTTTTTTCTGGTTCAAAGCAGAAAGAACAGCTCCTTCATGTCCCTTCGATTTGAAAAGAACAACTGCGAAGTGCCCAAAGATTCCTACCAAACCAGGATTTGTCTGCAACATTTGGCAAGCGGCAAGCGTACGTCTCTGTGGATTTCTGACAAGGCAGGCGCACCAAGTCCATTACTCAACAAATCACCATTCACAATTGGTCAAACGTGGCCAAGCTATGTGAGCCCGCTGGTCGAAGTGCTATTTGACATCGCTCAGGGAGGTGACATATATTGGAGACTGAAAACAACTCCAACAATGTACTTGCACCAGGAACCTTTCACGGTGTGTTTCATCTCTTCCTATAGTTGCCTCTGTAAATCTTGAGACGCTCAGATCTGCAGAATGGTGCACCCCAAGGACTTGAGACTCGCCATACGGCTTTGCTTTAAAGACCAAAGGTCCTCGACCCAACTATGCCTATTATACGTATTATAGCTAGCAAAAACATCTCAAAAGCGCTCACCCCAAACACGCGGCGCTCACCCTATAGCGGCGCTCCCTGGTCCAAGTCGCAGGTGGAAGGAAAACCAATCCGCAGCGCATGGCGCGGCACCGAGAGCCACGCGCCCATGGCCTGGCGGGGAACCGAGCCCCGCAAAGGAGGGGAATGGCCAGGTCTCGTTCGTGAAGCAGAACGATATGGCCAACCGTAATGCAAGCAGCACAAAAAGGGTGGTTATTGGCAAACACATATAGTAGTTATTTAGTTATTATATATATATAATGTTATAAAGCAAATATATATATATATAAAGTCAGGGGTGTCTATAAACCACCTCAACTCCGTGATGCTGAGAGGTTTTATTTATGTGTGTTTTGTGTTTCTTCTTGCGCTTTAAAGAAAGGCTGCTCACCAATCACACATGTCACGCTGGTCACATGTCGCTGGTCGTGACCGCACCCCGCCACATCGAACCCTTCCCGTCCTTCTGTCGCACATCTCAACCCACCAAACACCGGTCCCAAGGTCTCCCGTTTTGGGCGTCCCAAGGTCTTCCACATCCAACGGGTCCTTGCAACGACCGCGCCCCCCCAACTGCGGCCGTCGGTGTGACCTTCAGCACATTCCGGGGCGACGGCACCGCCGCGGCGGCGAAGCGACTGCACAGCCGGTCCTGGAACGTGTCGGGCTGGGCGGATGGGCAAGGTCTTGAAAAAACCATCCCAGTCGGTGAGCAGTCCGAAGAGACCTCTCCACCAGTGGAACTGCAGGTTTTTTTGAATGGGTGGGGATGGAGTGAGATGTTGACCTGCATGAGGGGTGAATAGCATCTCGTTCAAAAAAACAAACCATAGACAACGGACATGGTGAAAAAGGGTGCATCTAAGATTGGCTACCTGAATACATAAGGTCCATATTGGATTTGGGTACAATATCCATCCGACAGCAGGGGAATGGTTGTGTTCAATGTGCTTTTGGGAAAACTAGTGCTCAAGGAATTTTAAGGTTGACAGTTTACCATAGAAAGGGCCACTACAGTATGGGCATCAACCATAGACATACTACTGTAGTGAACCGCTCAAATGACGATGTCCACGAAACCAACAATGTTTGAAGTGATACAGGACCAGCTAAAAATGAGGAAAAGGCCACCCACTGAGAATCATCAATAACTATAGAATCAGAACCATCTTCCCAAGCACTTTTCAATGACTTGTCCTTGTCCTCAATCAATACCAACACACCACACACACCTGTCACGTCCACACATCAGGCGTGTGCATCCGATGCATCCGATGCCGCGGCATGCACTTTAATGGGTGGATCGGCGGATCGAAGGGCGGACTCAGGTTGGTGTCGAGGTGCCATATCCAGATCGATGCACAAGCAGGGCACCTGCTGACGTTGGGCCTCCCTCTCAGCCGCCAGGAACTCATCTCCGGCATCCACGTGGCAACATTCCTAGAACATGGCCGCATCGCGGTGGTCCGGGCGAGGTTCTTCTGGGATCGCAGAGAGAGTCCGTCGTGTTTCTTTTGATTGATTCGATAGTGCAGAGTGCACGTGTATGTATATGTATATGTTACAAGCGTCGGGGTTTAGTCATCCGGGTTTGCAGAAAGTCACCCGGCCGCAGTTATATTGCCATCTTGCATCTAACCCCATTGTAAACGCAACATCCAAACGACTTTCTACAAGACCAAACGACTTAACACTGGTACTTGTATATAGAATTATATATATGTCATATGTATATATATATATATAAGCCATTCAACATTTGATGAAGCGTGAGACTTGTGTTGATCATGTGTCAAAGTATTGGTTGTGTAGTGTATGAACATGATCAACAGGATCCTCGACGAAGCGACCAACATCAAGCGATGTAAGCGGTTGATTTGTCTCGTCTTCCAAGGCGGTCCAAACTTCACAAATGGGACAACACGGGGAAGTACAGCAAGGGCACCATCGAGGGGGGGCTGATAGGCCCCAAGCAGATTCCAGAAAATTAAGATGAGGAGGATGTTCTTCAAAATGAGAACGCAATCACAACAGTAATTCACATCTGACACACAGATTCAATCACCAGGTCTATCCAAGTCTCCATGATGCCATAAAGCAGCCAAATTCCAGACAAGCCAAAGGCCACTTCCTGGTGGATTTTGCGCATCTATGGGCAACCCAAGATTCCTACGTGGGCACACTCAACAAGGGACCCCAACTTTGGTATAGTGTATGATTATAAAAAAACTCATATGGTAAGGCCAGAATCCTTGATTAAAAACACAAGTCGAAAACAAATCAAAAAAGTCAACTGGAAAAGTCAAAATCAAAAAATATCAAATTGAAAAGTCAAAGCGAAAAGAAAAAAGTCAACCATAGACCACAGCTCGAAAAAGTCGAAAAAAAACACGTCAAAAAAAGTCGCACAAAAAACAGCCAAAAAAAGTCAACAGAAATCAAATTCCAAACAAAAAACTCGAAAAAGTCAAAAATAGTGAACACAGGCACCAATGCCTTTTGCTAGCGCTTGAGCCAAATCAGTGCGTGTCATCCTCTGCATGCCATCGGCTATGCTAATCTTCTTTGTGCATGTTGCCCCTTGTAGGGCCATGCTTGGGGAACCAAATTATGCATTAGTGTATGTGTGCTTTACATTATCTATACATAGGTGGGGTTATTATCCTGAAACATTTAACTTCCCCCCCCGGCACGGTTGGACTCACGTCCTCCCGCGCAAGCGCCGGCGTGACCCAGCGCTAGGAACGGAACCCCCCCAGTGCCCCAGCCAGGGTTCCGTACCGAGCGAAGAAGGTGCTATCATCAACCGTATCGGGCAGAGAAATGTTTCATCTTTACAATAGTTCAATTGTACAAAGGAAACTGTGAAACAGATTCACCGCAAAATGCGGGTAGTGGCCCACTTGGACATCCTGCTCTCATCCCTTTCACTTTTACCGCGCAATGCGTAGGTCAGGCACTTTGGCCACTTGAGGCTATGCAAGAAGGCAATCAAGAACGTCAAGCCGACAAAGTCAAAGCCAGCCAGAGCCATGAAAGCCAATGCATATATGGCAACATGTCCTTAGTGTGGGAACCGCGCAAGCGCTGGTTTCCCGTGTTGGTTTTACCGCTACACTTTCGGGCTTCCGTTCTCCTTAGTAAAGTCCTGGGATGGGGTTCCAATGCGGAGCTTCTGCAAAGCTGCCAGGAATTTCACCTTGGCAAGCGCCTTCGTGAAGACGTCGGCCAACTGTTCGCTCGACTCCGTGTACCTCAGTTCCAGTCCTAAGTCGTTTATGGTCTCAGAAATTGCTGCGATGGACAGTTTATGTGTCCTGTTCATAGCTTTGAGGCGAGCGCTGTACCCAGCCCTCAGTATTTGAATGCAAGCCATATTGTCCTCATGTATGATGAGGGGAATGCTTCGTTTGAACACCATCTGCAACACTGTTTGGACAGGAATGGCATCTGAGTACAGGCCGTCATGTAACGCTACAATTTCTGATTCCGTGGTTGACTTGGAAACGCATTGTTGCCTGCGAGAAGTCCACGAAACAGGAAACATGGTCCCATCGGAGCTCATGACGCACAGGTAGATTCCAGTGTGTGATTTCATTGTGGTCACATCACCTCCTAGATTAGCGTCTGTGAAAAGGTGAAGTTCAATGTTTGAAGGATTCTGATGGACAAAGCAATTTAACACCGTATTCACTGGTACCCTGCATGTATGCAACCAACCTGTGAAGCATCTTGCCATGGTTTATAGACCAGCGTGTGATACCTGAAGCCAGCTTGGTGACCCCATGGGATAGATCAGGTCTACTTAGGCGGGCTAGCCACAGTACTTTCATCAGAATTGATGCCGATCGTTCACCAAGACTGCCCTTTGCCTCCCTATCACCTACATTCAGTCCTGATTCGTTCAAGTATGGTGTTTGCACGGGCTTCAGCACAACGTGACCTACTGCCTGAAGATAAAGCTCCACAGCCGAGCGACAATACTCAGCCATTGACATGAACAAAGATTTGCCTTCGGCGACCTCTTTGACGCCGTGATCACGACCGAGATACCGTCCTGGAACCTCTACCCCATCTACATCGATTTTTGTTTTGAGCGAAACCCAAAAAGCTGACGCTTCATCCGCACATCCTGCGCAAACTATGTCATCGACGTATGCTGCAACCATGAGACTGGTATGACTGTTCCACCAAAGTGACGGGAAGTTCTTTCTGGCGTTGCAAAGCCAAGTTCCTTCATGACATCGGACAGGTAATGAAACCAATCATCACCTGCGTCAGGATGCCCATACAGTGGGCGCAACAGCCTCACTGCGGGCTTCCAAAACTTCCCAACCCATTCTGGCAACCAACACGACTCTGGTAGCAGCACCCAGGTGGGTGTTGGACTCCTTAGTACTGCTTGCAAATACGCCCTCTTAGCGTCAGCAATGAAGACGCAATTGGAACCAACAATTCCGTAAAATAACACCATCGCAATTGTCATATATGCTAGCTGGTTGACTGTGCAATTCACGGAATTTCGCGGGCAATCCGTCTTGGTTTCTGGTTAGGTCTCCTCTAAAGACCAACCGGCCTTTGTGTTGGCTCAGCGAGGGGCCAAGTTCGTCATGCTTGATTGAACCTACCTCCTTGACCTCTGCTATGTGGATCTCCTGGTTGTTTTGTTTGGCCCATGACTTTAGCTCTTCGTACTCTGTTACGCTCGCGTCGTCCCAAACACCCATGGATCGCACATCAGCAACCTCTTTCTTGATTGCCTCGACTGCCTTTGGGTCCTCACGTATCTGTTTCTTTGTTAAGCCCGGTGCACCAAAGCTTGAGCATTGTTCAACAAGCGCCCTTCCCTAAGTTGCTCGAAGATTCTTTCCACCTTTAAGGATAAAGCCTCACCATCATGGTCACAAGCCCTTCCATGAACTTTTCCGGAAACAAGGAACAAAGGATAGAAGTAGCCATCTCGCGGTTGTAAAACACACTCAAATAGGCAACTTCCCCCCTTCCAGGATATCATGCTTGAATCCCTTGGGATGTCGGCGTTTACGGCTTTCCATCTCGACCGACAAGCGCTCATTGGTGCTCACGATTCTCCATGGTTTCTTGGGCCTCTTCCCCTTGATCTCGAGGGAGAAAGAGCAACTGCAGGGATGGGACGAAGTCATATCATGTTGGGATCAGTTTGTCAATTTCCCCCCCAACCACTGCAATGTTTTGGCCACTCAAAGGATGCCGACCCCCCGTTTCCAACGACTCATCCGCGAGATCGGAAAAGTCAGACACGATTTGTTTTGATTCCTGTCGCTTCTCCAGGAGTCTTTCATGGAAATCTTCTTTCAGCACGTGTGAGTTCATGTGCTGCCGGAGCAATATCCCCTGCCTCCACTCGCTGCCGCAATTCCTTCTGCTTGCGAGTTTTCTGGCCACCTCTCTCGCCCCTCGGGCGCTTAGGAGGGGGTTCCCCTTCCGTAGCTGCCACCAGTGATGAAGTCGGGGCTATTACCCTGAAACATTTTACTTAAAAACAGTCAACCACTCAAAAAATTCTAAACAACAAGCGAACAAAAAGTCAAAAACGTTGAAAAAAGTCAAAAGCAAGTTTAAAACAAAGTCGAACAACATTAAACAAAAAAGTCGGATCTGGGCAAAATGAATTGTTTTTTGACTTTCTGAAATTTTATGCTTTGATTTTTTTGACTTTGACTTTTGGGATTGACTTTTTGTTTAAGAAAATATATCCAATGAAGTTTTTTTTTAAACACGTGTATGATTACATATCAGTTTACTGTTATTTCTTTTTCACATATTGGTAGCACGACGACTCTACCACACCTTCGCGATTGCGCAGTCTTGATGAAATGATGTAGAATGTATGAATGGCTCAAGCATATATCAAGCACTTGAGTCCACTCAAAACGGCCCAAGTGGGTTTTCCAAGACTGGGCACTCTGCACCTGTCCGGTCCTTGGCACCAAACCCGCTCCCCTCGGGCCTGGCACAGGCGCCGCCGCAGCGTGCGCCGAGGGAAGGCATCCGGGAGGATCTGGAAGGAGCCCTGGGCCAACGAGGGCGCCAACGTGCACAACGAGGGCGGAAGGATTGGGTGGGTATATTTGGATGGTAGGAGTACCGGGGGGGGCATCTATAGTAGTTATATAAACAAGCACAGTTTGAGAGGCGATATGGTGATGGTTCAATCGGCTTGGGTACCTTCCACTGGTCTTTTGGAGGGTAACACCTTCCTAGGGTCGAGTGATTTACCTTCAATGCTGGGAGCAAATTTGCACACAAATTGACCCTTGCCCTTCAAGTAAAAACACTCTGAAGGAGTGACATGTCATGACCTTTCCAAGGCGCGCAAAACATGACGTTCTCTGCCATCCCTGTTATGCAAAACATGACATTGTATATTTACATCATTTTACATCGATTGTAAGAGCTTCTAGGGACCAGTAGATGAAAAGCCCGTTGGGAAGCACCATTTTGAGCCACGTCCAGAATGATCCACAAACCGCTTCCACACAAAGACATTCGCAAGGTTCCTCCTTGCGCACAACGAGCCCATCGGCGCGGTTGACAGCTGTGCAGCGTGCGCCTGTGCAGAAGCTCCGTGCTGTCCAAGGTCGGCGGCAAGCTGCTGAAAGCTACTTTGTGTCAGCATCAGCACGGGGATCGGGGGATAACCTGAGCCGGTGCGCAGAAAAAACAGTGGCTTCCCAAATGCAGAAAGGGTTGGTTCGTGAGAACGCGATGCACTTGCCTCAAAATGGCTCAAATACTCGGTTTGTGATGTACTCAGTTCTCTCTTTGGCCAAAGGGCATGTGGTTACAGATTGGAAGGGCCTCTTCAGGATGGCTGATAGAGGTTGCACAGAAAACGGTGTGAACAAAAATCAAACTGAACAGTTCCTGATATGTTATGTACGACTTTAGTGGTCCTACTGCTGAAGAGAACAACTCCTACACCAGCGATGGGGTGCAAACCCATCGCACTGAGGGTGTTTTGGTGGTGGCCAGGTAGTGAAGGATTTCTTCACTCACCAGTAGTGGTAGACTGTTGATCGATAGAACCCCCCCCATTGGGCCCATTGGGCTTGTAAAACCTGCTCATATGGAGGATTTTACTCGTCAACCGTCTACATGAAAAATCCTTTTATGCATTCCCTCTGCATTTCCTATCAGATTGGCTCCTTCCCACCATGTCCATGTCCATGCTTCGGTCGACACCTGGCTCAGCCGGAGGGGTGTTGGAGTTGACAACGCCTCTGCACCCCCAGAGACAAGTCAGCATACAAGTCAGAGAGAGTGACCTGTCTGGAGCATCCTGTCACCATCCTGTCTGGACATCTCTATACAGTGATTTCAGAATAGATGGCGCAACCCCCAAGATGTCTTCTATATAGGGGTCCATACAAACCACCGACATTGGGGTTTGTGCCATCTACTCTGAAATCACTGCGTAATAGTAAGTAGTCAAGGGTAAAGTCGAGACAATGGACCTGGTAGGCCTTTGGTTCCGAGCCACCCATGCTCCTCACACGGTAGGCGACCCTCACATCGGTCAGCAAGCTCTCATGGCCGAGGCGACCTGGGGCGTGCCCTCACAGGGTGTCTTCCACAGGAGGCTGCAGGGATATTGGGTGAACTGTCCAGAAAACGCAGGGATCCCTGGGAGATCTCAAGAAGTGCAAAATGATCTTGCAAGAAGGCTATCTCAAAACTGCTTATTCTTTTATATTATAGTTTTTAATACTAATGTAAATACACAAGCTTGACATTCTCTGCACAAATGCAAAACAACACACCACCTGTGAATCCTTCCGTCCTTTACCTCCAGGGTTCTCCATCTAAGAAGTGTCGCTAGTTCCTGTCTCAGAATTAACAATTGACAATCAACGGAATGTAAATCAATTTAGTATTGTTATATAGTTAAGTAGATTTCGCTCTATTCAGGTCCTATTTCAATCTGTTCAGGTTTCAACACTTTGTTGGAAGTCTGAGCAGGGACTGTTTTTGCTCTCTAAGAGTTATTCAGCCGAGACCGCAAACCATCCTTTTTTCACTGGCTGGGAAGGAACTTCGTCGGGTAACGTTCAGCAAAACTGAGTATCAAGACTGCATTTAACTCCACAGGGCTCCTGAAGAAATACCTGGAAAAGTCGTTGATGCTTTGAGACTTTCAACATTTGGCACTTAGCAGTCTTTCAACACAGACCTAGACAAGTCGGATTACGCTGCCCTCAGTCATCTTGATCGGTTGCTTCAAGAAATACAGAGGTTTTCCTCAGTTTGGACAAGTGGCAAACTGCCACTCATGGGCATTCACTCCATGGACACATCACAAAAAATTGTCTCTCAGTGTCTAGGGCTGATCTCGTTGATCTGCTGTATGTATGCCACCCTCCAAACTCGATCCAGCTGACGGCTGGCTTCAAGCTCCTGAGCAATGGTGGAAAGGGCAATGATGGTGGAAAGTGGGAGCCCCAGCAACAAGAAAAGTAAGCCAGTAAACTTCAAGTTTAAGTGTCAGCTATTGTGAAGTAACTGGCCAAAGTCGAATACTTCACACCACTGCCAGAAGGAACTGAGTATTGGAAGTAGTTCTGGACGGCCTTCGGCTTGATGATGTAGGATTGGACTCCTGTTCTCAAGGTTGGAAGGACAGTAAGAAGACCCCAATAGGAATCCAAAGGATGCAGAAGACTGTAAGTGGGGACAGTGGTTGACAAGAAACCAGCCCTGCCTTCTGTCGTGATTGGGGTGGATAGCTCATGAGAGTTCACCGTTGGGTCTGTCACCCCAGCTTCACCCATCTCTCTAAGCAACGTGGCCCAAGTGCACCGCTCGCTGTCACGGCAAGCCTTTGGGTTTTGTTCATTCGGAACTTCAAGCACGACGTGCTCAGAAGAACTTTTCCACTCAGCTGCAATGATCCGTTCCAGTTCACCTGGCATACAATCGGTGAACCATTGTTTCAGTGGTTTTTGGGAGCTCCGTTTGATCATTGTTTCAAGGGTGTGTTGATAGACATTGGGTCCTTTTCTTGCGCGGCTCGGCGAAGCGAGAGAGGTTGGATACATCGAACTACCTCCGACCTAGATGAGAGATACTGTATTCCCTAGTATCTCATACTAAGATATTGTGCCAGTTAGCAACCCGCACTCACCCGCACCAATTCTTACATAAAAACAGGATCCATTCTTACATTAAAAATACGTCAGCTTGAAACAAAACAGGTTCCATTCGTCTAATAAACAAATAAATCCTATTCTCATGGCCTTTAAATCTTTATAGCCGGACTTCATGCGGGTTGTCTGTTTCTGGCAAGCCTCAGTAGACCACATTTGGTGAACATCATAGGCTCATGGCTCACGGTGACATTTCATTCGACACCACCCGAGCCCTCTTCCAGCTCAGATTCACCGGCTTCATCCATATCCTCTGGATTAGGAATATCCTCCATATCCTTTGGATTAGGAATATCCTCGGGATTAGGATCATCCAGATCCTCGGGATCATCCAGATCCTCGGGATCATCCAGATCCTCAGGAACAGGAGGTTCCTCCTCAGCAGGTTCCTCCTCAGGAGGATCCTCCAGCGCACCAAGGTCCTCACCATTGGGTTCCTCGATGGCGGGCTGTGCCTTCTTTCGGAGACGTCGCCTGCTCAGCTCCGAAGGGGAAAGGTTCTTCATGCTGGCCACTCGTTCAGGATGCTGACCCCACCTCAAAGAGATACAGTGACCAGTGGTTTCAGAGTAGATGATAGGTGGCACAACCCCCAAGATGTGTTGTTTTTATGGGGGTCCATCTAAACCAACACCTTTTGGGGATTGCGCCATCTACTCGTAAAAGGTTGCAGTGATTGGTTCATCGTTCAAGTTCTTGCCCGCAACTCGAATAACATGCTGGAATAGTTCCAAACAGTTCTGACAGTAAAATCGCCTAGAGTTTACTTCAGAGCCGGCTAGAGTTTACTTCAGAGTTCAATCGGTCAGTCATTTTTGGGGCCATGACTCTTCCCTTGCCATCTTCAAAACTTCTTTCTTGGATGCTTCCGGATGGGCTTCCTGAAGTCTCTTCTGGGCCTCATGGATGTGGTTCCAAAAGGTCGCGCGAAGGCCAACAAGGCCAGGAGCGCCAGACTTGGCCTGGCCAAAGCGTGACATAGATTGATAGCATAACATGATAGTAAGATGAATAGATGGTTGGAAAGACAGATGGTTGGATAGCAAGTTGGCTAGATAGCTGGTCCAATGCAACAAGTTGGTCCCCCTTAAATGGCCAGTCCTTTGATCCATCTTCGTTCTTTCTCCTTGACTTTCGAGGCTTGGTCTCCTGACCTGCATTCTTCTCTTGGTCACTCGGACCCTGCTCCACAGCCTTCGTCTTCTTCCCACCCGCACGCTTCTGATTCTCATTTTCGACCTCCTCCTTGTCAGCGTCTTCCTTCAGAAGCGCCCTCTTCCTTCCCTTCGTCTCTGGCTCCTTCGTCTCTGTCCCAGTCCTCGTGAATGCCATCATGGCCGCCTTCCTTTCTTCCGCAGAAAGCTGAGACTTGTTCTGCTTTTCTTTGGTCTCCTTTTTCCCAGGCACCTCAGGTGCAGCACGCTTTGGCTTCTTTTCTTTCTTCTGAGTCTCACGTGGTTCCCCCTTTGCCGCCTGCGGCTCCTGCTTGGGAAGTTCTCCATGTTCAGCAGTGGCCTCCTTCTGTGGATCCTCATCTGTCAGTGAGGGGTCGGAGCTTGAAGGTTCCTCTGGGTCTAGGGGGTTTTCCTCCTCCTCCTCCTTTGTCAACTTCCTCCCTTTGCTTGAAGCTTTGGACTTTGCTTTTGCTGTAGCCTTCCCTGAAGCTTTGGCCTTTGCTGTAGGCTTCCCTGAAGCCTTCGCTTTGGCCTTCCCTGAGGCTTTAGGCTCCTCCTGCTTTTCTGTCTTCTTTTGTGTCTTGACTTGCTTCTTCAGTGCAGCAATCTCGTCCTTCAGCGCTTGGACCCTCTTTTGCGACATCTCAGGATCATTCTCCACATCTCTGTTCATCACCTGCATCGGCACCTTTGGAGCTTTTGGAGCATGCATCACTGTAGTCTCATCTTGCTCTGGTCGAGTCTCAGGTTGCTCTTTGGGAGTTGGCGTGCCCTCAGGTAGCTCTGAGTCTGGTTTTTCGCCTGGACTGTTGCTGCCTGGTACAAGCTTGAACTCACGGACTGTTGGACCTGCTGCTGGTACACCTTGCTCCTGGCAACAAGGTGATAGTGTTGCATTAGTCTAGAGCATCAGTCTGGCAACAAGGTGAGATTAGTGTCTAGTGCATTAGTCGTGAGTCAGTTGTCACCCAATGGTCCTTTGGCGCTGTCGAGTTCGGAGACTTGAAGGCCTAAGTCCGAGTTGAGGTGTTTGAGACTAATATTCCAGTTGAGGTGTTTGTCAGATTTAAGATTTCTACTGGGCGAGGCGGAGGCGTGTTAAGAACACCAGGGCTGTCATTAATCATGAGATGGAGGTCCTCGCGTCCAGGAAAAACATCAATAATTCAGTGCAAAGACAGAGAGAAAAAAAGTGGCTGCGCAATTCACTTGACACGCCAAGCCTGGTCAAAACCATGCTCTGCCAAAAGCTGCTCAATCCGACTCATTGCTGATCACTACAAGTAAGTGCTCCAAAATGTGGTTCCTGAAAATCAATTGCTCCTAGGGTTTGAGCCATGCAGATCAGAGGGAGTTTCAGACTTTTGATGCTTACGTTGAAGCAATTAACAATAACCACGCTTGACTCAAAGACGTCAAACCAAGCAAGGAGGACCTTCTTTGTCTTGACGTTTCATGGTGGCAACTCTGTCGGATTTGATCCATTTCGATGATGCGTGGCAGACCTGAAACTCCATAGTGCCCACCTCCACGGGAAGGGTTGCTGCCTCAAAGTTGATGGAATAATTGAAATGGATCGAACTAAAGTTCTTAGATCAAAGACTCTAAGATCAAAGTTCTTAGACTTAGAACAAAAGACTCTAAGATCAAAGTTCTTAGACCTTACATCGGTTTACTTTGATCTATTGTGTACTGTTGGTTTGGATTCCAAAGTTCATGAACAAAAAGCAAAATCATCAGCCGTGTCACCAGAAACAGTTTCCATTTCTGGTGTGGAAGGGTTCCTTCTACTTCACCGTCGCGGCGTTTTGCAGACACCAAATATAGAGTGGTGCCCGGAGTCCGGCCGGCGACTTTGTTTTCCAAAATATGGGTGTCGAGCAAAGCATCGATGGTTGCAGGCTCTCCCTTCCAAGGCTCCATCGGGGCAATCGGGGTCTCGGGTTCTTCGGACTCCCCAACGACCAAGGCTTTCATATGCTCTGCGTCGTCCATGGTCTGGTTCCCGAACCTGATGGTCTGGGCTGGAAGGGATGGTCGAAAAGAGTGTTATTGCTAGATCGTGTTAGATTGTGTTGGAGTCGGTGAAAAAAATAGACAAAAAACAAATCTCTATTACTGCTAGATGGCTTTTTATCGAAGTCCTGGAGCAATGCCGACCAGTCTGACCCAAAAACTGGGTCAGACAAATGCCTTGCTCTGACAGCTGGTGGCAGTCTGAAGCG